TTCAAAAATTTCAATTCAACAACATTATCATTTCATTTAACAGAAATTAGAAATTTGGTGACTGAGATGGCTTCACAAAAGTGAGTTCATCCCCATCATTTCAGCCCCTTACGATGCAGACAACATTTTTTTTCCTGCACTCAAATTTCAGAGGTTGTTTTATTCATCCAACATTAATTTTCTGTTCTATTATAGAAAGCTAATGTTTACCACAACTTTTGATGAGCTTCTTCATTCTCTGGCTATAGAATGCTGTCTCTCCAACATCATAGATCCCACACTACAATATGAGTTTTTGGAATTTTTCATGAGTCTGAATTTATTTATTTTTATTATTTCTTGTCAACTTAAAAAGGCATAACTACAAAAAGGGTGGAGTTATCAGTTAAGTGAGCATCACATATATTCTGTATTTATCTTCGTTCAAAAGCAATAAATATAAAATGGAGAGAGAGAAAAAAATCCGACCTCAAATTCCTTTCATTTCGTCCGTGAAACTGGAAAACGAAAGTGAGGGGGAGAATTTGTTAACACGTTCTCCGAGTGCCGATAAAATGAGAAAATTACTCTCAGCTTTCACACAAGAGAATACAAACTACCCAAAAGTTTCTCAAAATTATCAAAATATTCTGAATTCCTGTCCCTTGTTTGTAAATAAGTTTTAGCATATGCTTAGCAAAATACCCTTGTTTCAAGCATCATTAAAACTTGTCTACAAATAAATTTCAAGGGACTTTTTCATTAGTTTTTATTTTTGTGTGGCACATAAGAATGATTTTTTTCTCATTAAAATTAGCAGTTTAACGCCCTCTCTCTCGTTCTCACACGCACCTACCAAGTTTTGGATGCTTGAGCCCCGTAACTTTTACCGCCGTGAGACTTAACTATAACAAAGATTTTTTTTATTAAATTAAATAAATTTTTTTCCTTAATCAGTAAGTGTATGATAGATATATATATATATATATTAAAAATTAGTTACATTTAAATAAATTTTATAAAAAAACACTCATCTTACTTATCATAAGACCAAATTCATAACATCTCACTTTCATACCTGTAGGTCATAAAACCATTAATAAATAATACTAATTTGTTCCTTAGTATAAAAGCTGATTGGAGTTCAAATTTGATCTTAAATATAAGATCTTTATCTATTCTGTCTCTCATCATTATAAATTTTATAGAAAACTCATCTTACTTATTGTAAGATCAAATTCATAACATCTCACCTTCTTTCCAGTAGGTCATAAAACCATTAACAAAAAATACTATTTTGTTCTTTAATATAAGAACTGAATCGGGTTTAAATTTAATCTAAGATATAAGATCTTAGTCTATTTTTTCTTTTATTTTTTATTTTTCAAAAGATTCCTATTGATTGTAAAGAATTCTAATCAAAGAACAACTCCAATCATCCAATACACTTTATTGAAGAAAATAGTTTAGCTGAGGAGACCAACACATATTTGTACAAATAATCATTTTAACTAATTTTTTTAATATTTCTAAATTAATTATCTAATTCTTATTTAAACTCTAAACAGCCTATAGAAGTCATGCCTGGTGCCAAAGACCGTTGAATTTAATGGCATAAGATATGCCTTTTTGACATTAAGATTCGATCGTCCTCATGGCTTTTCAAGCTCTAAGCTTACCATCAAAACCCAAAAGAAGTCACGTCTAGTTAGTTACATTTTTTTTTTTGGTGAACGTCTAGTTAGTTACATTGACATATATGATTTTCAAATTTTCTGGAGAGTCACATTACATTACTTATATGCTTTTAGTTGGAATCTTACTAATATATTAAGAATCACGAGAAAGGTTTTATAATAAAGATATACGAAAAGGACTTACAAACAATTTTGAATTTTTTTGACATGATCGAATCATACAAATAACTGTCATGATATAAATTGCACAGCTAGAAAGAATTACTTCCAGGCCAGCTCATTGTACACTTTTTGTCGTGGACACTGTCAAAAGTTTGATCAATTTACTCATCCATAGTTGCAAGTTGCAACTTGCAAGGAGGGTCAATTTCATTTCTTTTCATACAATCAATGTCCTTTATGCACATTTACAGCCACAACAGACAGATTTAACTACAATAAATCTAACATGATAATGATATTTTAACACATAGGCAGGACTAAAATAAAGATTTTTTTAAACAAAATGCAAAGAACATATATTCAACTTCGAATTCAAACGTAATTTAAATCAAAAGCAGGTAGAAATTCCTTATACATATCAGGAAAATTTGAAGGCATAGAAAAATATTAAATATAAGTTCTATGACTTTAGTATGCCTATTTCTATTTACTAATAATTAAGTACTTCATTCTAATCTTAAGTTGATTAATTACAATAAAACAAAAGATTATGAAAACATTTATGGGTTAATAATATCTTTAGTCCCTAAAGTTTGACATCATTTTGGTCTTTGTTCCTGAAGTTTAAAATTAGTGGTTTTGGTCCTGAAATTTAATTTCATTTTGGTCTGCCTAAAGATTTTTAATTCCCATAATAGTGTTTTTGGCCTAAAACAAGGTTTTAAGGACCTAAATCACCAGTTTTAAATTTAAGGAACTAAATGAAAATGAGGTCATTCTAGAGACTGAAAGCAACTAAAGACGATATTAACCCAAAAATTATTGTGCAACCCCCATATAAACAATTTCATTTAAAAGGCTTACAATAAATGAGTAGTATGATATATTGACAACTCAAAAGACTTTGAGAGAATTATCAAGAGATTCCAAGAAACAAATCTAATTACCAAAAAATCCCAATGACAAGTAACCAAATTGAATATGTTGTCATTCTATATTCTAAAACTTGTCATTACTTACTCTTCACTTGTCGATGAATTTTAGGGTAATTAAATCCCTTTCTTAAGATCTGATTGCAATTCTCTCAAAGACTTTTTGGTTATTAGATTATTCATGTGGGATTACATAGTAATTTTCCCAAAGATTATCATAACCAAGATTTTCATGCTTAAAAATAATTTCATTGCATGTATTAAAAGGATTTCTATCAAAGCTACAATGCAAATTATTAAAGAATATATTTTATAAATAATTAACTTAGTTAATAATTTTTGTAAATATGACAACAGAGGCTGCTATACCACCAGTACACTTAGACAACAAACGGTAGTGTCTTCATCTTTACTTACATTTTTTTGACCAAACAAGTACAAATCGGCTGCCACTTCTGATACTTTTCTTCATCTCACTATAAACCCCGTCTCTCTTTCCCAAAAAATAAAAAATCGAAATGGACGAAGTCCTTATAAATGCAGACAAGCGAGGGGGCCACATAGACTCTCTAGATTGCAGCTTTGGAAATATCATCATGTAAATTGAGAATGCAAGAAGTTCCTAATTCTCACATCTTTAGAAGCAAAGAGTTCACGAATATAATATAGGTCTTATAGCTTAATTAACGACATCAAATTCTCTCCTAAATCTTTCTCAAACGTAAGATTGCAACTGTGAGTTCGAATCCTCTATTTAAATATAATAGGTAAGTGTGTTATGACAAAAAAAAGAGACAAAGTCCTTGAATATGGAGCAGACACAGGGTGACAACCAACAAAAAGAGGGTAAAAGTAGGTTAAGAAAGTCTCTTATTCAACACGTAGAAAAAGGAATTGTGCACCTTCTTGCCTTACCGGCATAGCTAGCTATGGAAGATGACAAAACAAAACCATGAAATAAGGTCCATGAGTATAAATGGGAGTGTGAGTATTGATGGATGGAAGCTGGCAAGCAAGCTATAATAACGAGCACTGCTTCTAGAGATAACGATGATGATGATGATGAATTGTTGCATGACAGAGAAAGACACTTTCATCGTTAAACTCGAAAGCCGAAAGTTCAAATCCACCATCCCATAAAACCCTTCCCCTTCTCTTCCATGTGTCAAACACAACGAATCACAAAAAGGGAAATGTTTCTCATTCTTGACCGTGACAGAAACCTGAAATTCATCAAGTGTGACAGGCACTGTCTCTAATGAACTCCTTTCACCTTTCGAATAATAATAAACCTTTTGTATCTGTTCTTGCACCGCATTGGAGCTCTGAGAATAAGTTCAGCAATCTGGAACTGTTGCTGATGGACGTGTTTATGAGCTAGTGGCCAGAAAGAGTCAGAAATTTAACACTTTGAAAATATCAATGGTTATTTTACCACTAAAGACCAAAGTTAAGTGGCCAACAGCCAAACCTGAATTAGCGTAGAATGATATGAACATGTGTGCGAGTGTAGAGAGAGAGAGAGAGAGAGAGAGAGAGTAACACACAAATGATTGACCGAGTAATGAACATCAATATACAGACAAAAGGCCGCAATGAGTCATGCACTCTGTGTTAGAAAATTAGTTTAAATAAAGCATGCACGATAATTCAAGCCCATGGACCGACCATGCCACTTTATTTAGGTTCAGAGTATACGAATATATTAATAAATTCATGGAATGGATTGTTAACTTTCACTGGACCCGTTTATTAAACAACTTGGATTGGCTCAGCAGCCATATAATTAGTCCAAAAAAACAAGATCGGAGGAAACAAAAGAACTTCGAAAATTTCATCATTCTGAGGTTTTTTTCTGCTAAGTACACGTGAGTATCTTCAAGATGTGTTCATATAAATCTAGTTCCGTGGAAAGATACATATTCCCCAGTTAAGGTAAGAAGCTGAAATATTTCTTCATGATCATACCTGTCAAGTGTATGTCAACGTCTGTTCCCCACCTTTTCTCATGTTTCTGATCCCAAATTGTCATTCTGTAACAGTTGAACATAATGGAGAATAGTCATTTCGAGGCGTAAAAGAGGAAAGGTTTCCCTAAATGACAATGACAAGGTAGGCTAAAAAATAGACCTATCCAATAGCACACTTTTAAAACTAAAAATGTCCCGTGGAGACAACCCCAAAAAAAAAAAAAAAAGACAGAACTCGCCCTCCTAAGTGATCACTATAAAGTGAGTAAACTTTGGGTTCTCAAGACAAACTACTGAAAAAACAAGCACTGACATGCAAAAGTACATGGTTAGGACAGCGACAGGGCTTGGCTCTTCATGTGGAGCATGCAAGTTCCTCAGGAGAAAGTGTACTGCTGATTGCATATTTGCTCCTTACTTCTCCTATGATCAGGCTGCAACCCATTTTGCAGCAGTTCACAAGGTTTTTGGTGCTAGTAATGTCTCTAGGCTTCTGCTACACCTACCAGTGCAGAGCAGAAGTGATGCAGCCATCACTGTGTCCTACGAGGCACTCGCTCGGATGCATGATCCCGTATATGGTTGTGTTGCTCAAATCTTTGCCCTACAGCAACAGGTACATCCTCAGAATTTATTATATGATGGAGACTTAGTAGTATGGAATACCAAGTTTCATATTGGGTAGAATTGGATGCTCGATGGCTATCTAAATAAGTTGGTTCTCTCATCTCAACAGCTAGTTAGCTTCTGGGATACAGTTCCCCATCCGATTTAGGTACCAATCATTGCATCATACCATAATATTGTGTAGAAATAATTCTCAATTCTGCTATGTGCAGGTTGCAAGCTTACAAGATGAAATAGATAAACTTAGTAATATGATGGCCAACTCTCCTGTTGGTGCTGCCATTTCTGGTGGCAGTTCTCAAGCCTCAACAAGCAGAAACACAGATGGGATAGATTTTACTTGGCAGCAAGATGCATCAAATACACAACTTTATCATAATCAATTATCTACTCTGTTTTCTCACCAAGAAAGTGGTGTAGCCTACCAAGGCTTGGAAGGACAGGTGAATCTGGGTTTTCCAGATACTCTTCAATTTGAAGACCATGTATTTGATGAGTCCGACCCTAATTCATTAGAGAAGCTCCTATCAGGAATTGACCAACAGGTTTTCATCAATCATCCTTGATCCTAAATCCAACCACTTCAGAAGGTTAAAATATCAATAGAACATCAGCTTATCACGTGCAGTACTTTACATGATAGGACTGCTTAAAATCGAGCTCTGTTTTGAGTTTTGACAGCCGCCTCTCGTTTTAGCTAGCTTTATCCCACTTTTGTGCTCCAAATCACCCATTATTTGCAGAAATATTTTAGTCTCATCCCAAAAGTTTCAGTTGCACTGTGTATTTACTTGAAATGTGCTAATCCTGTCTAGTTATGTGCCCCCATATACACATCCTTGAGTAGAAGCATCAAATCTCACCTCAGAAGTCTTAATCATTCCAACAAGGTTTAGTCGAAATAATTGGTACCCATAAGTTTAGTTGCCTTCTGGTAAAAAAAAAAAAGTTTAATTGCCACATATATTTGACAAATGTAATGTGTTAAATATATTACGACAAAAAAAAAATGATAAATGCATAAAAAGCAAGCATAATGAATCAGGTGAGGTGTTTATAAAAACTAGACCTCCGGATCCAGTATATGCTGATTAAATTGTAAACAAGAACAGATCTGGAGAAATTATAATGCAAAATCAGAGAGCACTTGAGATATAGATATGCATGCTCAAACGTTCAGGCTTCTTATCACGTTACGCGTTGGTTCGCCTTAATTCTATACCAATATGGCATACCTCGCCGAAATAATACGAAGTTATAGTTATGGAGCGTTCACTATGCACAGGCAAGTCGACATGTTAGGTAGATGGAATAATAATGATTTTTTCGGGAAAATGTTACTTATCTCTTATTCATTGCACTCCTGTGAGGATAAAGTGAAATTAATTTATTAAGTTAAAAGACCAAAATGACCTGAAAAAGAAATGAGGGATATTAAAATAAGTTATCTAGTTACCTAGGGAAATGGTAATTTTATGTTGTGAAAATTCTTATTTGTGTAGTAAATTTGCAAACTCCGGTTATAAATTTATACTCAATTTAATTTTTGGTAACTAATTGAAATTGACATATTAACGATGCGAAGCAACAGATGATATATGACTAGTAATATATGAAGTAATTATTTTGCATCTTATGTGGGACGGAAACACACAAAGACTTCACTTATTGCCAATATAACTTCACTTATAAATAGTCTAACTCCAGTTATAAATTCTCCTGTTTCTCTTGTAAATCTCCTTATTTTGGTTGTAAATTCTCATATTGCACTGGTGAATGCCTTTTTTCTTTTGGTCAAAAAGAAAATTCATTAAACCTGAAAAAGGGAATTAGCCTATTCCCTCTTTACAACCAGTCCTATCATGTTCAAGAAGAGTAAAAAGAGGGGATGGGGGACAAAAAATCCAACCAGAGGAGCTCATCCCCTTACAACCTGATTTGGCAAGCCAGTCGGCCACCAAATTACAAGATCTAAGAACATAAGAAAGTTGATAAACAGGACAAGAAGCAAAGAAAAATTGCAACTCAGCAACTAACACCTCTGCCTTCCAATCTGGACAAGAAGCATGACCCAAAACAGCTTGCACAAGCGGGAGACAATCAGATTCCACCACTAACTAACCAAGGTCCCTCTCCTTGCAAAGAAACACAGCTCTATGCAAGGCCTCATCTTCACTATAAAAGGCAGAAAATGCAGCTCCTTTTTGACAGAACAGATCAATCACTTCACCTTGAGAATTTCGTAGCACGAAACCCCAACCACAGCATCCTGTATCTGCATGAAAAGATCCATCCACATTAAGTTTAAGTAAAGCAAAATCAGGTGGACACCAGTTCTTGTGCACATGACTTTGATGGGGAGAGGCAGTAGTATCATTGACCCACTTCCTTGACCTCTAAAGTTCATGTATAGCAGTAACAGCAGATTGCAGAATCCAATCACACTCAACAGGCTTATGTTCAAAAATTTCACTGCACATAGCTTTCCATAGATACCAACAAATATAAGCTACTAAAGCTTGCAAATAAGAATCATCTTTAAGTTCCAGCAAGATATCCAGTAACCAATCCTCAAAGTGAGTAATGGTAAAATCATTAATAACCAAAGCAAGAGGAGAAGCGAACCAAACTTTTTTAACCCACTCACACAAAAGCAAACAGTGCTCAACGGTTTCAGTACTGCTGTCACAATGCACACAAGGGGAGAAATTACGCATTTTCTTTTTAAAAGGGCCTCTTTGGTAGGAAAAGCTTGAGAGCAAGCCTTCCACAAGAAATGTTTCAGTTTAGGCTAAATCTTCAAGCCCCAAATGAGCTTCCAAATTTGAGGTTTAGTATAATAGGAACAGGTAGGACCTACCTTCTTCTTTTTAATTTTATGAGCTTGGAGCCATTTATAGCCCTCTTTCACCGAATACTGACCATTAGAGCATCTAATCCAGATTAGCTTATCCTGTAGGTCCAATCTAGGGAGCTTAACAATGAGAATAGAATCCACAGTATGATGAGGGCAATCAAAATTCTCAAGGGACCATTTTCCTTGGTTGATAAGACTCCCTACTTTCACATTTTTCCATTCATCAGGGACATTGTCTACTTTTAGATAGAATTTATCCAAGGAGGGTATCCAAGGATCTTGCCACATATTAACCCTATCACCTTTACCAATCCTCTAATAAACACTATCTTGAAAGAGAGTTCTACCTTCAAGTAAACTATTCCAAGCCCAAGAAGCCCTTCCTCCTTTTTTAGCCTCTATAAAAGAACAATTGGGATAATAAATTCCTTTGATTATACGAGCCCAGAAAGCTTCAGGTTCAGCTAGTAAGCGCCAACGCTGTTTTCCAATCAAAGCCAAATTATAATTCTGAAAATCCTTAAACCCCAATCCTCCAATACTCTTAGGTTTTGTTAGAGACTCCCAAGCCTTCCGCACTAGTGAATACTAATTCTTTCACTTATTGCCAATGGTTGTAAATTCCTATATCCCTCTTGCGGATTTCTCATCTTGGTTCTAAATTATTGTATTCTATTTGCGAATGCTAATTCATTTATTGCCAATGATTGTAAATTCTTGTATCTCTCTTGTGAATCATCAATTGTGAATTTGATTACTTTAGTTGTCAATACTTATATTTAGTTGTAAGGTAACTTATCTTTATTGTGAATCAGTCAATGTTTGTTGTAAATATTTGTATTCTAGTTGTGAATGTGCATATAAAATTAAGATGTCAAAAATTTCTTGTACACAAACTGCTCCAAATCACCAAAATAAATAAAAAAGTACTCCAAATCGAAATGCCTTAATACAAGCTTCTATATATATCACGAACTAGCTTAAATCAAATTTTCTATTGATATCTAAAGGAATACAAGACCTCATATGTGGAGAGGCAACTAATTCTGGTACCCGACTATAAGATGTACTACGTCCGGTCCTACAAACAAAATCTTATAATTAGAACCGGAGATTTAGTGACAAGGAACAATGGTAGGTTCTGGAGACCCTTGCCTTATCTCTACAACTGAATCTATTCAAAGTTATCTCATCCTTTTCTAGATGAGATGCACCAGCAAGCAACAAATACTTTTCTTTTGAGCACAAATGCATCAAATAACGAAAAAGAACCCGACCCAAATGCCCAGAAAATAAAATGAACAAGAGCAACATATAAAGTGTGATGCCCGTGTCCTTGATACAGTTTGAATGAGATCAAATTTAGCTAATCTAAGCCATCATCAATCATTGCTCTGAGAACGATAAAATTCTAATAAACCTGTACGAAGTACAAATTGATTTTTTTTTTCCCCCTCACATCATAGGGTTTGAATTAATCACTGCCTACATCCCACCCCAACCAAAGAAATTCCCCCGTGATATTTGCAGAAAAAGAGCAAGTAGGAGTCTTTTGGAGTGCATGGCCGCCTCCAGAAGGGGACAATGAGTTACGGAGCGTTTCATAGAACCGATGGAAACAAAGCTATAGTTTGGGTCTTGTCTACGGAAAAAGCTGACATTTGCAGCATTGGGTATTTGGTAGGCTGGAGAGAAGAGGCTCGTTTCCGACCCGAGAGTAATTTTTTTAAAATCATTTTCAATAACGAACGTTAGTTTTATCATCATCGTCTAAAAATTATTGATATTTCTTTTTGCAGGTTATTTTTGTCTTTTAACTTAACAAATTAATTTCATTTTTCAGACTTTCATACGAGCATTTGGATATTAAATCTCTACAATATGGGGCTAAGTGAAATTTTTCCTCTCTTTTTTTTTTCCTTAACCTTTTGGGCCACCCCTGATGTTTTTTGCGGTAGTCAACTAGTTTTAAAGCAGTTGCATACCCAGGACTTGAACATGAGACCACCAGTTAAGTTGGACAAACCCCTTACTAGTTTTGACCAAGCCCTTGTTGGTAGATGTAATAATAATGATAATATATATACAATGCAAAAAATATATAATACCGATAGGAAGGCAAATAAATCAAGTCAATTTACAAAAATAGATAGGAAATTAAATATTTTAAGTCGAGATCAATCCTTTCATCCTGTGTTAATACTAGTGGGGAGATGTTACTTCTTTCTGTTTAAGTAAATGAAGCATCAACATCGTATAATCCTCTATCAATAAAGATGCCAGAATAGGGGGGGGGGGAAGAGAAAGATATCCCATTAATAACGATGCCAGAATCAAGACTCAGAGAAAAATAAAATAAAATAAAATTCAGTTCCATGACATTTGTGCGTAAGATTCAACGTTGATTCATATTCACTGTGCCCAACCAAATGTCATGCTAGGCTTCAGCTTTAGATCTGTCCAGTTACGTAATCAGATAAATTGGGGCCAATGACGATTGATAATAGATTTTCATCCCTTCAAGAGCCCCCCCCCCCCTCCTTCCGGGACTATTCCCTTCAAGAGATTATAAATCACAATTACTAAAACAAAATTCATTCTATTTGAAAAAACGGAAAGAGAAACAGAGCTACACGTATAGAACGAAATAGAATAAACATAAGATAAGAAATACTCAATATTGGTCGCAAAACATGAACTATAAGACAAAATGTGTTGAAATTGTTTGCTTAAAATATAAATTAAGACATTAGTAAAATTGCACTCGAAGGAAAATGACGACACATCCAACGGAAACAGTAACTACTTTTGCATTTGGAAGGGAAAAGGCCTTCCTCCTACTCTACAAAGGGAAGAAATTTCCTCGTAACAAGTCATGTGGCTTTCG